GAAGTACGGAGAGATGGAGGAGGATGACAGAAAGTGACGAGTTTGATAAGTTAGCGGCTACCAGAATGGGATGGAAGGAGGTAGGGAGCAGAGGACGGATGAAAGAGGTAACGGGGAAACACTGCATGTAGAGAAAAACATGCTTGAATTCTGTGTCTGTTGTAGAGGAGTCACAAAGCAATAAGTGGGTTTGGGAAGGGTTAAGCCATTGATTCTGTTTTCTTATTTCTCTCTCAATTCCTGTTTTTGTACCATTAAAAAATATTGTCTGCAGATCCATTTTTTTGCTCACTGCTCAAGGACTACATTGAAGCAAAGTAGCCAAGCGGCTGCATTTACACAAGCAAGCTGTTTGACCAGATTTATCTTCTTCTGTGTTTTTATCTGGTCTCGCTTTTAAATAAAGCTTCAGCGCCTGTTACCAAACTTTCAACTTGGCTTTAAGAGGAGAAAACACACACACACACACCACACACCACATCTCTTCTTACACACACACACAACACACACACACACACACACACCATCTATCTGTTCACCAATTCTCTAAATTTCAAAGAAAAGTATTACAATTGAATCCTGTCAGAGACTGGATGTGTTTGAGATTCTTGCTGTAGGGGAACTCTCTTCTCTTGATCTAATATTATTGAAGACTATCTATATAATTCTATATATATTATTATAATCTCCAATAATTTAAAATTGAGGGAATTTGACAGTCCTCTTTATTAGTGATGAAAGACTTGACTCAGGGACAAAACAGGGAGCGCATTTATCATAATCAGGATCTACTGTGCGTCTAGATTTAGCTTTCCAACAAATCTGAAACAGTCTGATCCAGGATACAGACGTTCACATACTAATCATTCTTGTTAAAGAAAAAAAACAAGACCAGTATATTTAAGACTGGAATGTGGTCTGAAAGCAGGTCCCATGAACAGGCTGAAACCGTAATTGTTGAACTTTTCCCAAACTCAGATTCGGAACTAACGCTACAAAAGTCACGGTGTAAGTGAAATCATCAAATAATTGATGATGACTAAAATAAGAGTGTGTGAACGCCAGCAGCCCATTATTAGATTTTACAGACTGTACTCCATACGATCACACAGGTCTGTTAGTCAGGGTTGGAAAAAGAATGTCTTTTGTCTTTGTCTAATCTTTTCACACTTTATGTAGCAGAGCTGTTATCCTTTTTAAATTGGGACCTTGTTAGCAGATTTACGCTAATCTTATTGTGTGAGGGGGTGTCGATGAGAGAGAGTAGTGACCTGTTGTGGACGATAGGCCATGGTGGTCTTCAGGGGAGTCCAGCTCCACCCTGTGGGACACCAGCTCTCTCTGGAGTTCCTAAGCTGGATTCCAGCTGTTCCCTCTCCTGGAAAAAAAAAAGAGGTCAAAATCTCTCTTTAGGCAGGCAACTCGCATCAGCTATAACTTCCACCCACCAACAAAAAAATATAATTTTGAAAATCAGTTTGCTTTGTTTGGATCAGTTTTTGTAGGCCAAATTTTGACAGATAGTGAGGTCCAAGTAACATTTCCTCACCTGGCTGTGTGTGTTGTGGTGTGTTTGTTGATTTAGTGTGTGTGTTTAGCCGTGACAATAAAACTATATCTCACCACTCACTTGTCTGTCTCAGGCCTCCTGGAGGCGGCCTTTCACCTTCTCTTGCATCTCTCTTTCCTTACTGCATCCACTTCATCTTGTGCTGCCCGAGCCACCGTCATCTGCCTGGTTACCTTCTCGTTCTACACACCACACAAACACATACACACACACACACCACACACACACCACAAAAGTCAGGGGACACAGATGCAGACACGCAGGAAAACACACCAAAATAATTACGACAGAGGCTGGAGCTTTCGCCGTTAGGGGGAATATAAAAAGGACAGCAGGGAGGACAGAAGGGAAGGTATTTTAGGAGGGGACAAAGACGTAGCAAGAATTGATGAACATGAAGAAGAAGTATGATATTTATTTCTCTCACACCTTCCTCAGCAGGTCTGCGTTGACTTTGAACAAGCTCTGGTGTACTTCTCCTTCCAGTTTGTTAGCGCTGCTCATTGGCCTGAGCTTTTCTGGTTAGAAACACACCACAGTTAGTAGCAGGACAGTAAATGATCAACAGGACATCCAGGAGATGAAAAACTGCAGGTACAATAATCTAGATGTTAATAAATTCCTTTTAGTTTTTCATGTCTTCATTTTAATTTTGCTTCAACTCCACTGTTGATAATTAAAGGGAACTTGTTCAACTCAGGCCATTTCTTCGCTGGTTTTCATTTTTGTCTTCGCATGTTTTCTCAACGAGCTTCCCCTACAGCTCTGGGGACGTGTATTTCACAACACATTCGTAAAAACAACTCACTTGCGCAACCCTCCTTTTCTACCGCTGCTGGATGTGCCTTCTTTTCACGGGCAACTTTTTCCATGTGGAGCAATATCTACCGGAGGTGGTAATACATTATACCACTAACCGTTATTGAGGGCGGCGTGTGCGTTTATGTGGAATTGCCGTAAAGCCGTTCGTATTCTCGCTCATACTCGCTTCTTCGCGTACTTACTATTTCCAATTTACCGGGTGGTAGTCCCAAAGTTGCCAAGGTTGTTTTCCGCATGGGGGTCGCCAGAGGGGGGTGAGGGGGGTCACCATTTTTCACCGGAACAGGCCATTTAACCATCCAAATGATTTCTAAACGGGTTTATTAAGCTGAAAAAGTTGCCAAGTTCCCCTTTAAAGAGGAATTAGGAGCACTTTTAAGTCACCAACTTTCTGTTTCTTATTTTGATCCGAAAGTGCCATTACGTGCACACTCTGAAACACTATTACTTTTCCAAAGTTTACATATTTCACAAAAAATCTTAAATTAAAGACAAGAACGCTTCAACAATCACAAACTGCTTCGATGTGACTGTGACTTTTTGAATCATATCTATACAGCAACAGTGACGTAATAATGTGACCTTGAGTCCAGCCTTACTCTCTATCTCTGTCAGGCTCCGCTGCTCCTTCTCCGTGTCCTCTCTGACCCTCCGCAGGTCGTCCAGCTCTGCCTTCAGGAACTCGCTCTCCCCTGCAGCCTGCAGCCTTAGGTGACTCTGCTCTGCAAGCTCCGCCTCCAGCTCGCTGACACGCCCCCTCAGCGCCTGACACAAGCGTCCACTCTGATGTAATGAAGCAGAAAAAATAAAGACACGTTATGAAGTTGGTATACGGTTGATTCACTTGTTTCTGGGGTTATAGATTTCTTCTTCTCTACCTCCAGTCTGAAAGACTCCAGCTCTTCTTTAAGGGCCTGGATTTCCCTCGTCAGCTGTTCAATCAGACGGTCTCTGGTGGGTACAGACAAAATAAAACTAGTAAATAAACTTCAGCTTGGGCGCCGGGTTAGCTTAGAGTCCGACCTGCGGGCCTCTTTGCTGCGTGTTCATCCCCTCTCTCTTGCCCCCCTTTCCTGTCTATTTCAGCTTGTCACTATAATAAAGGCAAAAGCCAAAAAAATATACTTAAAAAAAAAACAAACAAAAAAAAAAACCTTCAGCTTGATTTTGGTCTGGATTATTCATCAAATGTATTGTTCTTAAACACAGATCCACATTTGGGCTGCGAATTCAACTAGTGATATTAGCGATCAGTGACGTGACGTTTTCAAGCCTTACTTGTCGTCTTTCCGCATGCCGTTCTGACTGTTGAAGTTGAAGGGGTCTATAGCAGCTGAGGTACCAAACAGGTCGTCAAACTTGGTCTCCAAAGCAGCCTGAAGGTTTATGAAAGAAAAATCACATGAAAATGATCTCTATGTATTAGATAACACAGTCATTACCTGCTGGATTTTGTACCAGCATGAATATAAACCAGATGTTTAGAGAAGTCTTGCCATAAATCTAAAAAATATGTTTCCACAGAGGAGTCTGTTAATGTGCTGGGAGGTTATTTCCTGTTTTATCTCCTTCATTTTTACCACTTTCCCTCCCGTCTACTCCCACAAACTTCCGTCATAGAATTTTGATCGCTTGAACAGCATGCATGTGAGCCGGGGAACCGACCATCTAGCATTTCAGGAGGGTACCATTCAGGGATACTTGTCTTGTTTAGTTACCGGCAGCACGGGGACGTCCGTGTCCACCAGGTCGTCTGTCTCCACCACATGCTCCGACTCCGGTGACGACGACTCGGCAGGGATCACGACCACAGGGCTGATGTGCTCCGACAGAGCCGACGCACGCAGGAAGTTGGGAGGGTTCTGCAAGAAGCACAAATATAATCACTATATTATATACCTGTATATCCATCAAAGTGAGTTAATAATTTGCCTTTTGGGAGAATTTTGGTGTCCATAGCAACTTGCAACATAAAAGGTGTAGTACTTGCAGTTTAGGGCTGGAATTGGACAAATATATTGGCTAGTTTTTGTCCTTGCTCAGTCACTGCATCTTAGTGATGGAGATGAATTACACCCTCAAATTGATATGAGCAAATGTAGGACAGGGTATGAGCCTAAAGTTCTCATTTCCATTTATATCATACGTATGTAGCACCAGCAGCGTATATAAACGTACAGTATACACAACTACTACTGGGTATCATAGCATGTCAGTAAAATGAAGTTGGGTTGATAAAAAATGAGAAGTTGATATTAAAAGAAATACCTATAATATGATATTATAAAAAAAGTAAGCAATAACAGCTGTAAATGATCAAACAGGGTAATAGATGAATTAACCAGTTACTAAACAGAAACTTGAAACAACCGTCATGGTCAACTTGGGGCTAAGGTGTGGTTAAAATGTGGAAAATGACTCAGTGAGGGGCGGTCCTCACCTCAGGCAACTGTGGGATCTGAATCAGCCTCTTGAAATACTGCAAGTTACTGGAGCGATAAAACAGACTCTTTAACCTGAAACAGAGAGAACCAGAGAAAAGGACAGACAGAAGAAGGAATAGACAGAAATTCAGAGTGAGAAGGACAGAAATTCATTCAACACGGTACTAAAAGCTCAGACCTTGAGGTCACACTCAGTACAGTGAAACTGTGACTGGCTGTGTTTCTGCCTGTGTGTGTGACTGCAAGTGAACTTCATACTTCTTAAACTGTTCCTGGAAGCGATCTCTGTGGCCCTGGAGAGTGTCTGCCGGAAGGCCTGCGAGCACACACAAAACACAAACACATCAGTGCTCAGACGCCAAAACT